TAATCTGAGGATATACATTCAAACAAGATAATTCTCATGCTTCTAAATATTTAAAGCACGTAGTTGAGAATGAGAGAGAGATGCACAATAATGAATAATAATTAATCTTCTTGATTAGTCTTTTTTTCATGAAATGGTTTCTCCATTTATGAATGGGGTATAATATGTGAACTTACATGTTTGCCCCCTATTTTAATAGGATTTTACATGATATTTTAAGCATTTTATATTTATGAGTCTGCAACTCGTCTACCCTCTAACTAGGTTGGCTAAGTTCGGTGGGCATTAGTTCAGTGAGGCCTACGGTTTCGCTCGTGCCACATCGGGGTTACCAGTCGACCTGTGATGGTCTTTGAGTCGACAAGGTTGGTGATACCGAACTCTTTCTTTGAGTCAGTTTATGACGATAGGGAGGTCATTGCCTTTGCTTGATTTTATTAGCCTTAGTCTTTGGTTCAAGTGGTCTACACCCAATCAGCCTTCGACCCCGATTCAGTGGGGTCACAACCGGTCAAATAAATAGGTCTTTGATCTCCCACAAGTGGACCCTCTTTATCTAATTCCAAATTTTATCCAAATTGGGACTCATAGTTGACAGTTCGGATCCCACAGAGTCTCAAACAATAGCCTGCAAGCTCCTTCCCGCGTCTCCTACTCGCCAGCTGTTCTCTCATTTCATGGCTCCGAAGAACTTGGAGCAAAAAAGAATAAAAAAAAGAGATTAAAATTCCGATTATTCCAAAAAATTAAATTTCTTCCCAACAGTGCATAACCGACGCGCGGCCTTATTCGGAAAGAGGTTAGGGAGACGCTTCCGAAGCCAACCAGTAGGGTTTGGTGACAAATCAGAGCATCTGTCATTCAAAAATCTGATTTTTTTGCAGGCAAAAAATTAAAAAAGATGTCTTTTTTAATTTTTTTGGAGAAAATAATAATATTCCAGGAAGCGTGGAGGATTCCCTCTTTAATCTCCCTCGCCGAATGAAGAACTCTCGTTCTCCCCTCCTTCTTTAACGCCGGCTCCGGTGGAGAAGAAGATCGCCAGCGCCGGAGAGTTCAACGGTCGGTAAAAATCTCACATTGCATTTGCCCTATCGCATTCTCTATCTTCTTCCCTATAATGTAGAAACCCTAGCTTGTTCTTCCTCTTCTTCTACTTCTGTTCTTACCTTCTCCCGTGCAGCTGCTGTTTTTTAATAATTTGATTCATCAAATTGGGCTTATAATCAACAATGGCAGGAATGAGGTCCAGCATTAATGGAGATGAAGCAGGAAATGGAGGTGCTGGTGGTGGAAAGGAGGAGAGGATATATGTATCGGTGAGGGTGAGGCCTCTCAGCTCTAAGGAAATTGAGAGAAATGAACAATCAGATTGGGAGGTCATCAATCACACCACCATCATCTTTAAGAACAATCTACCAGATCGATCTATGCCCCCCAGCGCTTATACATATGGTCAGTATTGGCATTATAGTTTGATATGTTGTTTGTTTGGAAGATTTACATTCATACCAGGTAATTTATATGTGTTTGTATATATTTAACACCTAAAGTTCCATTTTTTACATACATACCAACTCACCTTTGCCTGAAAAGGTGTATTTCACTTTTTAGAAGTTAAAATGGTTGTATTTTTGATGTGATACGGAAGATTTGGGCGGTATAAATGTAAAAATCAAAGTATGTAAAATGCTTCTTTGAGTTTTTCTAGAACTTAGTTGTTTTACTTACATTATGTATGATAATCTAGATTTTTAATAATTTTATGAGCCTATGGGGTGGTTTGAGTTGAGGTAAGATTTAGTGAATTTTGTAAATGTTGAGGGGTTCAAAGCCTGAAAATGGTTTAGCATGACATTCACTAAATCTTGCTATATAGTGATGAATAGTTTGGTAAATTGTTTATGGGTTTAAGGTTTATCACAGTGAAATATTGAAATATGCAAAATCCTGTAAATAGTGAGTTTCCTTTTTTTTTTATGTTACATTATAATTATTTTATTCTAGTGAGAGTTTGCCTGGATTTATTATGTGAGTTTTTATTTATTTGTTTGTTTGTTCATATATTTGCTGCTTCATCTAATTTTGTAATGATTATTGTAAATTCAAGGGTTGATTATGATACCGGAGTTAATGTAAATCATGATAGGAAAGTAAATGTTATTACCGAAAACAAATAGGAGGTTACAATCAAATATATCTAAAAGGAAAATTACAGTTAACATGACACAAATTCACACTAGGGCTCGATTCATGGCCGGTGGAGGTCGTCTAGGTTGTTGGAGATAGGTGCTTGAAATGGATTGAGGGTGGTTGGGACAGCAAAAGGAGGGGCTAGAATCGTGTTGGCAGCGAAGTAGAGGGCTGGGACAGCTAGGATAGTAAGTTGGGTGGCAAGCGTAGTAGCGAGGCGCTTTGGAAAAGGCTGGAACAGCCGAGGGACAGTGTTGAAATATAAAGTTGGTTTTAGTTGTTTAAATAAATCCTAATTACTAGAAGCTTATTCTAGAAGTTATGGTAGATATGAAATTATTGTGTGGTAGGTGAAGTAGGTGTGAAATTATTTGTAACTATTGGATTGAAATTGTGGTGGCATAATCCTAGCAATTAATTTAGGAGGTGTCACTAGTATAAATAGGGATGAATTCTTTGAGTTTGTATCAAGCCAAATAATTGTGATATATAAAAATGAAGCTTCTTCCATAAGTTTTTTAAACTTTTGTCATATCCTAAAAGCTTCTCCATTCCAACAAAGTGGTATCAGAGCCTAAAATTTTTTTTATATAGCAATGACAAACGGTGATATGGTTTCTTTCCAAATTCCGATGCTTAAGGAATGCATCTACGATAATTGGAGTATCAAGATGAGGGCACTCCTTGGAGTGCATGACGTTTGACAGGTTGTGGAGAAAGGCTACGATGAGTCAAGCGATGAGTCCGCTCTATCCACGACACAAAAGGATATCTTAAGAGACTTGCGAAAGAGAGACAAGAAGACTCTCTTTCTCATCTATCAAGCTTTAGATAAAAATGGTTTTGAGACTATCTCAAGTGCTACTTCGACTAAACTAGCATGGAAGAAGCTCGAGATTTCGTATAAGGGAGAAAAGAAGGTTAAAAAGGTACGACTTCAAACTTTAAGAAGTCAATTTGATTTTTTGCATATGAAAGAAGGTGAGTTGGTCTCCGATTACTTTTCTAGAGTCATTACCATTTTCAATCAACTAAAAAGAAATGGTGAGAAGTTAGAGGGTGTGGTTATCATGGAAAAGATTTTTCGATCGTTAGATTCAAAATTTGATAGTATCACAACCATTATCGAAAAAATAAAAAACTTACAAGCCATGACGATAGAGCAACTTCTGGGTTCATTGCAAGCCCATGCAGAAAATAAGAAGATGAATGAATAGATTGCCGAACAACTTTTCAAGACGAATCTCCAATCAACTCAGAAAGATGAAAGCTTCAACAACATTAGAAACCAACATGGAAGAGGTAGTGAACAAGGATTGGGTCATGCTAGCAAGCAAGAATGAAGTACCAACAATAACTATGAGAAAGTAGAAAGATCTATAAGAGGAAGCTTTCCAAATTCCGATGCTTAAGGAATGCATCTACGACAATTGGAGTATCAAGATGAGGGCACTCCTTGGAGTGCATGACGTTTGACAGGTTGTGGAGAAAGGCTACGATGAGTCAAGCGATGAGTCCGCTCTATCCACGACACAAAAGGATATCTTAAGAGACTTGCGAAAGAGAGACAAGAAGACTCTCTTTCTCATCTATCAAGCTTTAGATAAAAATGGTTTTGAGACTATCTCAAGTGCTACTTCGACCAAACTAGCATGGAAGAAGCTCGAGATTTCGTATAAGGGAGAAAAGAAGGTTAAAAAGGTACGACTTCAAACTTTAAGAAGTCAATTTGATGTTTTGCATATGAAAGAAGGTGAGTTGGTCTCCGATTACTTTTCTAGAGTCATTATCATTTCCAATCAACTAAAAAAAAATGGTGAGAAGTTAGATTGTGTGGTTATCATGGAAAAGATTCTTCGATCGTTAGATTCAAAATTTGATAGTATCACAACCATTATCGAAAAAACAAGAGACTAAGGATTTAGAAGCCATGACGATATAGCAACTTCTGAGTTCATTGCAAGCCCATGAAGAAAATAAGAAGATGAATGAATAGATTGCCGAACAACTTTTCAAGAAGAATCTCCAATCAACTCAGAAAGAAGAAAACTTCAACAACATTAGAAACCAACATGGAAGAGGTAGTGAACAAGGATGGGGTCATGCTAGCAAGCAAGGATGAAGTACCAACAATAACTATGAGAAAGTAGAAAAATCTATAAGAGGAAGTGATCGAGGGCGCTCAAACTCGAGGTATGATAAATCTCAAATCAAGTGCTATGATTGTAACAAGTTTGGGCATTATGCGAAAGAATGTAGAGCACTTAAGTACAAAGTGAATGAAAGAGTCAACTACTTAGAAAAAAAAAAAAGAGAAGAACATGACACTCTACTTCTAGCATACAAGGACAATGAAAGAGGTGAAGATAACACATGGTACCTGGACACCGGTGCAAGCAACCATATGTGTGGGAGACGAAGCATGTTCGTAGAGCTTGACAAATCAGTAAACGACAATGTGTCTTTTGGAGATGAGTCCAAGATATAGGTGAATATTCTCATCCGTCAGAAAAATGGGAAGCATCAATTTATTTCTAATTTTCACTTTGTGTCGAATATGAAGAGCAACATCTTGAGTTTAGGACAACTCTTGGAGAAAAGATATGATATTTCACTTGAAAGAAAATACTCTTTTCTTGAAAGACAATATTGGTAACTTAATTGCTAAGGTGTCAATGTCTAAAAATAGAATGTTCTCACTCATCATTCAAAACGATATTGTCAAATGTCTGAAGATCTGTTATAAAGATGCTTCTTGGCTCTGACATCTTCGATTTGGGCATCTCAACTTCAGAGGACTCGATTTACTTTCAAAAAAAGAGATGGTGAGAGGATTACCTTGCATCAACCACCCTTATCAATTATGTGAAGGATGTTTACTCAAAAATCAATTCAGGAAAAGCTTTCCAAGGGAGTCAAGTTCAAGAGCCCAAAAGCCTCTTGAGCTCATACATACAGATGTTTGCGGTCCAATAAAGCTAAACTCACTCGGTAAGAGCAACGATTTTATTCTCTTCATAGATGATTTTTCACGAAAAACATGGGTGTATTTCTTAAAACAAAAATCAGAGATTTTTGGAATATTCAAGAAGTTTAAGGCAGATGTAGAGAAAATAAATTGTCTCAAGATCAAAGCTATGCGATCTGATCGAGGAGGAAAATTCAATTCAAAAGAATTTCACGAATTTTGTGTAGCCGACGGAATACGCCAAATACGTCGACTTCTAACTGTTTCAAGATCTCCCCAACAAAATGGAGTAGCAGAAAGGAAGAATAGAACCATCCTCAATATGACAAGGAGCTGATTGCTGAAGGAGTTTTGGGAAGAAGCGATTGCATGTGTTGTTTATTTAGCTAACAGATCACCAACAAGAAGTGTGTTGGGAAAGACACCACAAGAATCATGGAGTGGAAGGAAACCCGACATCTCTCATCTACGAGTTTTTGGATGCATAACTCATGTACACATACCCAACGAGAAAAGAAGTAAGCTGGATGACAAGAGCGAAAAGTTCATTTTCATTGGTTACGACAACAACTCAAAAGGCTACAAGCTATACAATCCAAATGCAAGGAAAAAAACCATCAGCAGAGATGTCAAATTCGATGAAGGAGGAGAATGAGACTGGGGACTTCATGATGATGACTACAAATTTTTCCCATACTTTTAAAAAGAAGACGCAGAGCAGCCAAGGATCGAGCAAGCAAGAGAAGAGTCTACTACTCCACAAACAACATTGACTACAAGAGATCAAAGCGACTCATCGTCATCAACTTCAAGAGAAAATTCAAGTGAAAGAGTATCACGTTTCAGAAGATTAGAAGATCTTTATGAGGTAACTATGAATCAAGATAATCTTACTCTTTTTGTCTCTTTGCCGACTGTGAGCCCATGGATTTCCAAGAAGTCATACAAAGCAAGAAGTTGAAAGATGGAATGAATGAAGAAATCAAAACAATCGAGAAGAATGATACATGGGAGCCAGCTTCACTTCTTAAAGGGCTTAAGTCAATTGATGTGAAGTGGGTGTACAAAGTAAAAAGTAAGACAATTGATGTGAAGTGGGTGTACAAAGTAAAAAGGAATTACAAGACAAGATTGGGGGCAAAAGACTACAGTCAAAGATAATGCATTGAAAGAAAGGAGATATAAGTATAGTATGTGAAGTCTCAAGATCAAGTTGCAGATATTTTTTACGAAGCCACTCAAGAGTGAAGACTTTATTAAAATGAAAAAGTTTACTTGGAGTCACAAAATCAAGTTTAAGAGGGAGTGTTGAAATATAAACTTGGTTTTAGTTGTTTAAATAAAACCTAATTACTAGAAGCTTATTCTAGAAGTTATGGTAGGTATGAAATTATTGCGTGGTAAGTGTATATTCTAGAAGTTATGGTAGGTATGAAATTATTGCGCGGTAAGTGTAGTAGGTGTGATAGGTGTTGAATTATTGTGTGGTAGGTGTGGAATTATTTGTAACTATTGAATTAGAATTGTGGTGGCACAATCCTAGCCATTAATTTAGGAAGTGTCACTAGTGTAAATAGGGGTGGAGTCTTTGAGTTTGTATCAAGTCAAGTAAATGTGATAAATAAGAGTGAAGCTTCTTCCATAAGTTTTTTAAGCTTTTGTCATATCCTAAAAGCTTCTCCATTCCAACAGACAACAGTCAAATAACATGTTTGCTATTTTCTGGATGATGACAATGAAGGAGTGAGGCAGGGGATTGTAGGACAGTAAGAGGCTGTTGTCCGGGGCGGTTGCATCAAGCAAGAAGTGTTTTATTAGGGAGGGCTGCAGTGAAAAATAATAAAAGAGTGTTGTTCGTGGCAGCTGTAGCAATAAAGGATTGTCGGGAGTGTCGTGGGGAAGATGCAAAAGGGGATAGGGAAGATAATGACCACCTTGGGAGAGAGATACAACAGGAGCATCACCCAATCCCTTGGATACAACCCTTTAAGGGAGAAAAACGGACGTGGGCAACTGTCCTAAACAAAACACTCGAAAAACTGAAACCTTAAGCACATGAATCAAATATATAAGCCCTAGGTAATTAAGATTGGACTCACTTTCGAAAAGAAAGACCAAATCCACTTAAGGAAGGTCGGTTGGCCCCCAATTCTGTGTTCTGACCCGGTCCTAGGCTGCTGGGAGATCGAGTTCTACATCTGGTCCAGGTTGCGGATGAGTTGAGGGACCATAGAATAAGAATCTATGTTGTAACATTTGATTATAATGTTATAATTAATGCAACTGTTCTTAAACTTAATTCACTCCATGAGAAATCATATATTGAATACTTACTAATAACTTTATGACAATTTCTGTTCTACATGATGATTAGATAGAGTCTTTGATTATAATTGTGACACAAGAAAAGTTTACGAGGAGGGAGCAAAGGAGGTTGCTCTTTCGGTACTCAGCGGCATCAACTGTGAGTAAAATTTCTTCAAAACTTTACTCTCCATCCCTCCTTTTAGCGCTTTTGCGGACTAATCCATGTCCTTAACTCAAATTGCAGCGAGTATTTTTGCTTATGGGCAAACAAGCAGTGGAAAGACTTACACAATGAATGGAATAACTGAGTATTTTATGGAAGATGTTTATGATTACATCAAGAAGGTGATAAAAAACAAGTTTTACACTGTTATTTGAGCTTTTCTTTTGATTTGCAATCCACAAAATGTGGATTTTTCACTCTTTTGTTTTCTATCCTACATGCAATTTTCACACTTTGCAGCATGAGGAGAGGGAATTCCTTCTGAAATTTTCAGCCATGGAGATATATAATGAAGCTGTCAGGGATCTTCTGAGTTCTGACTGTAGCCATCTCAGACTTCTTGATGATCCCGAGGTGAGGGATTGCAGAAATTTTTTTTTTAATGTTTTTTCTTTGGTATATAAGTAATAAATTTACATTATTTATTTATTTTTTTCCTTTTGATAGAGGGGAACTGTTGTCGAGAAGCTTACTGAGGAAACACTAAGGAATGAAAGCCATTTTAAGGAGCTTCTTGCTATTTGTGAAGGTATAATGCATGGCTTAATATTTCAGAATTGGAAGATTTGCACACATACAGCTCAATTATTATGCGTTTACATATCTGACACCAAAACTTCAATTTTTACATATATATATATATATATGCCATCTTACAAAGATTTATTTTACTTTTTAAAAGTTAAAATAGTTATATTTTTTATGTGATACGAAAGATTTGGGCGTTGTAAATGAAAAAATAAAGTGTTGGTGATAGATATGTAATCTTGTATTCGTTTAAACTATTTGGATGCTATGTGTTTTAATCTCTAATCAAAGTGTCGCTCTTCTCGTACAGCTCAAAGACAGATAGGCGAGACCTATTTAAACGAAGCCAGCTCTAGATCTCATCAGATACTCAGACTGGTTGCTTTTCTGAATCCAGCCCAATAAAACTTTCTTTTTGCAAACTTTCTCATTAATGTATAAAAATCATCTTTTTTCAATTTTTTTCCGACTGCAGACGATTGAAAGCTCCGCTAGAGAATTTCGAGCGAGCTCTCTTGCAGCCGCAGTGGTATATCTTATCTCTTGAACCATCTGTATTAAATTTACATACATACCTTGTAATTCTTAGATAATTGCATACCGAACACTTATATTTTACTTTCTACATTTATACCACCAAAATCCTTCATATCACATCAAAAAATATCACCCTTTCATAAAGTGAAATACACCTTTTCGTTCTTGGGTAAGGTGGTATATGTTTGTAAAAGTTAAAAGTTTAGGTTTTAGATATGTAAATGCATAAGAAGAATTTTGTGGTTTTTTATCAAAACCTCCCCCTTTTTTTTTTTTTTAGTAAGTTAAATTAATTGATTGTTTGAATGCAGAACTTTGTTGATTTGGCTGGTAGTGAAAGGGCATCTCAAACATTGTCTGCTGGGTCAAGGCTGAAAGAAGGTAGTCACATTAATAGGAGTTTGCTTACGCTTGGAACCGTCATTCGCAAGCTTAGGTTGGTATAAATTTAATTTCATTTTTTTTATTATTATTATTGTGAGGTTGCTCTATTCTTGTTGTAACAATTTCCAGTCTGTTCTTGCAATTATCTATCATGAAATGATGTTTCTTCAGGGAAGTTGATTGTAGATACTTTTGTTTTTTGAATGTTAAATATTTGAGAATAGGAAGATTTGCATACAAACTACTCAATTCTTATGTATTTACATATCCAATACCTGAACTTTAATTCTTACATGTGTGTGACCTTACTTTCAAGAAAAGATGCATATGTTTACTGTTTAAAAGTTAAAATATCGGTATTTTGATGTGATGTAAGAAGCAAAGTTTAGGTGTTGGATATGTAAAAAACATAAGAATTGGGTGGTATGCATATAAATGCCACTTGAGAATATTGTGTTAAGCAAATGAATCCCCAATAACATGAAAATTGAGAAAAAGCCTGATTTGTGCCTTACATGTAAAAGATTCTATTAAGTGGAAGCTTCTCTATTTAACAATTATGTAAAATTCAAAATTTTCTTAATTACAAAAGTATCTCCTTGGTGATTCATTTTACAGAACCACCTCTCAAAATTTTGCTGAAGTCTTAATGACTTGGATGTATGACACATAAATACATAGCTTTTGGTATTTCATTTTAAAGATTTGAGTGTTTATTTACTCCTTTTATCAACATATTCTATACAAAGGCCTAATCAACCCAAGTCATGCATCAATTAATATTTGTCTTGAAAATAGAGGATAATTTTCTTTATATTTGAAGCCAAAACATGATTTGAAATCTTCATTCCCGATGCCATCCATGTCTGAATACAGCCACGGAAGAAATGCACACGTTCCTTACCGTGACTCAAAGTTGACACGAATATTACAAAATTCGTTGGGAGGTAATGCAAGAACCGCCATTATTTGCACGATGAGCCCCGCAAGGAGCCATATTGAACAGTCGAGAAACACCCTTTTGTTCGCAAGTTGTGCCAAGGAAGTCGTTACTAGCGCACAAGTCAATGTTATCATGTCCGATAAGGGGTTAGTAAAACATTTACGAAGAGAACTTGCAAGGTTGGAGGACGAACTCAGATACGTCAGCTCGGTGCAGAGAACATCTAATACAGATGAAATGAAGGTGAAAGATGCCCAGATAATAAAGGTATAGATTTTATCAGTCTAATTTTCTTTTTAAGCAATTCGATAAACACGTAAATTTTGTATTTTATAACTTGTGTTCAATCATGCATATATGTATGTTATATAAGGCCAGAGCTATAAGAGTTTCTTTAGTATCGCTATATTTATCAAAAATTCATAATAGCTATTGTATTATTGTTTTAAAAAATCAACGCTTCATCATTTTCTTCAAGTAAGATTTGTATTGGGTGAAGCTTATCTAGACTTTTCTGTGTAATTAATTACTTGTAGAAGTAGTTAGATAGAAAAGTTGACATGTGGCACAATCAATTTGACTTTTGCATAGTTTTTTCTTTTTTTGTTTTTCTAATGCTTTTTATTAATGAAAAATTTATTTAAAGATTAAATTACATTTTAATACTTTAATATTTCAACTGCTTATTGAATGCTAAATTCAAAGATAATGTAATGAATTATACTATCTAATCATGTTATGATAATTTCATGATGTTATTTTATTTCCACTAACTCTATAATAAAGAAATAATTGTATATTCTGTTTAAGTTTAGCTTTCTGTCTTATGATGTCATTGTTTGGTGTCTCATAGCACAATCAAATTAGATTTTAATACTATAATAAGTTCATTGCTTATTGATTGCCTAAACTCAAAGGAAAAATCATGAATTTAAAAAATTAACCATGATTGATGTCTTGATTTATCTCATTTTCTGCAAATTCTATAAAAAATATGACTATTTCAAGAATATTTTATTTTTAAAATAGATTTTTCTATATTATGATATTTCATTTTACTGCAAATTCTATATTATGTGTTTGCATGTGATAATAACTAAACAATCTTTACAAAACATTGGAAGATATAACAACAAAAAAATCAACATCACCTTGTTGCAGATGGAAAAAGAGATGATGCTTTTAATTCAGCAGAGGGATCTTGCTCAGTCTCGACTCAAGAATTTTGTTCGTTCCGTTGGGGATGATCGAGCCTCGAAAAAAATGGTATTGCCTCCATTTTAAATATCATAAATTTCATTTTGCAAAGCATCCATACCATTTTCCAGTCATCTCTATTACTCTTTCGGAGGAAACCCGACAATTCTCGACGCGACATGTACACAATCTTTTCGACAGTATTCATTCTTCAAGTCAATTGGTGTACACCACTCATTTCTTATGTATTTACATATCTATGTTGTAAACTTCAATTTTTACATATATGTCATCTTACCTATACATGAAATGTGTATTTCACTTTGCAAAAGTTAAAATGATGGTATGCTTTATGTGATATGAGAGATCTGAGTGGTATAAATGTAAAAAAAGCAAAGTTTAGGTGTTAGATATGTGAATACGTAGAAATGTGATGGTATGTGTGTAAATGCCCTTTTATGTATTGACATACCAACACCAAAACTTCAATATTTACATGCATAGCACTCAATATTACAACAAAAATATCACTATTATTAATTTCTAAAAATAAAATATTCTTTTTCGTGCATACGTTTATGATACCAAGTACTATAATAAATATCAAACTAATCGTTGGATATGTAAAAACATACAAAATGCATATGTATTTTATACAAATAGCAACTTTTAGGTGAAAATGTGTATTTTAATTTTTAAAGTTAAAATTGTGGTATTTGTGATGTGATAAGAAATATTTGTGTGGTATAAATGTAAAGTTTAGATGTTAGATTCATAGAATACTTAGGAATTTGATGGTATGTATGTAAATGCCCCTTTTATCTATTGACACATTAAATACCTAAAACTTCAATATTTACATGCTCAGCACTTAAATCTTTATTATTACATAAAAAATACTACTATTATTAACTTTTAAAAAGAAAAATACATCTTTTCATGTTTGAAGTTTATGATACAAAAGTATTACAGAATGTAAATAGCAAACTTTAGATGTTAGATATGTAAATACATAGAAAGAGTGGTTTGTAAGTGAATTTCACTATTTATATACTTCTCATTCTTACTGCTCCTTGAACTAATTTTTTTCTCATTTCTGTTGTAGGAAGAATCAAACCGATTCTTAGTTCAGCTTACATCTAATGATCATGCTTTTAGACATTGGGTACTTGAACATTGTGCTAGAACATGCTCAAATATACTATGATCTTCAAGCTTAAATTTACATCTTCTGTTTTTCACTCCATCCTATAGGATGAATCCAGCCAGCCATCTTTTTATCGCGCCGGCACTTCCGAAGATGAGTCATCAGTGTCTGAGGCCTCCGGCATTTGTTACCAAAGTCCTGAATTCGGCATTTCGAAGTGCCGAATACCGCATTCAAATCATTATTATGATATGACTCTACAGCCGCCGGCGACGTCAACGGGGTTTGAAATCTCAGCGAGCGATGCGAGTTACATTCCGCATAATACTTCACGAGCCCAGGAGATTGCATCCGATACTTCTGAAGAACACCCGATTCTGCCTGCTGAAACTGAAGCTCCTTTGGAAATTCTTAAGAAATCAGAAAAATTTTCGGGCGGGGAGTGCAAATTTCAGGATGTGAAGGGACCAGATAATGAAGATAAGGTTAGCGCAAAGCATTGTCAGGATTCTTTTGAAGTGGACATTCCAAGCATTTCACACTTTGTTGAGGGACTGAATAAAATGGCTCATGTTCAATATCAGAGACAATTGACTAAGAAACGGGTGGGTAAATATGGCTTAAATGATATATGACATTCATGTTTTACTATTAATTAGTTTATGTGGCTTTTATTTTTGCTGAATCAAAAAAAAAATCTAATTTTTTGTTCATATTGCCGTCTGCTAGATGGGAACTCGAGTAAAAATGCCTCTTTTGATGAAAAAAAAAAAAACATCTTAAACAAATCACCATGTGAAGCTTTTTTAATTAATAAAAAAACTAACTTTTTGATTTTATTTTAACTAATTATAATTTTTTTATATCATAAGAAACTCACAGCCTTTCCAATTTGGTTTTACTGCCATTTCCATTATTCAAGACCTTCTGAGCTTTTTTGTTCTTATTATTGCAGGAGATGCGTAATGTTTCTCTTGAAAA